CAAATACAGTAATGCTCAGACTTAGGGTGTCTATATTTTAAATACTAAATGTGCAAAATATTTAATTGCAACTTTGCGTTTAACTGGCTACCCTACATGATGAACGAGTACGCTCGAGTGTTTGAGTATTTCTGAGTCTCTCCCACCTACATCACGACCAAGGGCAGTCAGTTCGTATATCCTGTATCCGTCTAGAGTGTGGAGTATGTTTGTCGTAAAGCCATGCCAATATAAATTTGGAGCGGCTGCCAATTTAAACCGTTATGTCTTCAAGAAAGGAACCAAGCAACGTCTTAGTCTTCAACTAACAAAATGAAAATGCAGACTTTAGAAATCAAACCAGAGATTATTAACCTTTACCAAAGCTGATTTAAAGCTAGCGATGTGGCTCTTAAAAAGAACCTTGCTCAAACAATTCTGAAGACTACCATCAACGACAAAGGGCCGATTCTGGCAAAGATGAAAAATGGCCAGTCACTCAATTCAGCAGTCATTCGAAAACGTGATGGACTTGTTCCAGAAATAGAGGCTATAGTAAACATTTGGTGATAACCAGGTTGGAGTGAAGAAATGATCTGTTGATCAAAATGCCATATGCAACTAAAGTTGAAGGAGGAATCTGAAAATACCGAGAAGGATGAAAATTTTTTAGCTAACAATTGCTGGTTCATCTGATTTAAACAGCGCTGTGATTGGCATAACACTTTAGAGACCGTTGAAGCTGCAAATACCGACAAAGAAACTACTTTTTATTTCTGCAAAATACTGAAGAAGATGATAGAGAATGCAGAGTATTGCTCCAAGGCCATTTTCAGAGTTGGACAAACGGGGCTGGCTGTTCTGGATAAAAATGCCTGGAAGAACGTTCATAACTCGTGATAAAAAACTTTCCATGGATTTAAAGCTATAAACGATCGACTCACTATGATACTTGATGGGAATGCTGCCAATATTTGCAAATTGAAGTACTAGTGATCTTCAGGCGGAGAATCATAAATCTTTGAAGAATAAGTTAAGAGCTGGCCTTGAAGTGATATGAAAATCTAACGCCAAGGCATGAGTCGCGGTAGTTGTCTTTGAAGACTGGATTCACCAGCATTACATGCCTGAAGCCGAGCCCTATTGCCACTCTCAGAATCGTTCAATGTGATGCGAATTCTCGACAATGCTCCAGCGTTTCTTAAAGCGACGCTGATTGGTTTTGATCCTTGAGTGAAAGTGGTATTTCTGCCTCCAAACGAAACAGATATGATTAAAACATTTAGGACTTACTATACCCGACGATCCTTTGCTAATTTGAATGCAGCTGTGAACCAAAGTAATGAGATGGCTCTGAGTTTGCAGTAAGAATCATGTGCTGAAGTTTGTGAAAGAACCATGAACCGTGTATGGAAAAGCTTTGTCCATTCTTATTTAGTCAAAACATGAAACTTTAGCTGAAGCAGCGGAAGGAGAATCGATCTCCCTTGCTTCATGACTTGATCTGGAGATTGATGCTGAATATGCTATGGAGTTATTGGCTTCCCATAGCGAAGACATTACGCTAGATGATATTACAGAAGTGCATAACCGAAATGCTGTCGATGAAGCAGAAGTGGCTGAATTGGAACGGATCATCAGGCTGACAGTCGGAACTGAAGGCCTTGAACTGATTGAGGCTGGTCTGTTAGTTGTAGAAGAAATCGATTCGAATGAAGACCGAACAGCAACTGCTAGACAAGGCATAAAGAAGCGATAGCCTGGTGCAAAGAAATACTTGAGAAAAAAGTCTTTTTTATCACACTTCATTAGTGGACTT